GTAGGACCAGCTCCACCTTCTCCACACCACACTCTGGATAACTGGCTGAGATTTACATTGCTCACACTGGGAGAACGCACAGCTCTCCAAACGCCAGCCTCTGAACCCCCTCCAGCCCCTGGAACTTTCAGCTTTGTTATTCTCTGTTCCCATCTCTTGTCTTTTATCTCCTTACAAAATTGCTCCACCTGTTTTACAGTTCATAAACTGGGACTATATTGTAGTTATATAATATCCTAGTGAATAAAGAAAAAATAAAAATAGATCCCCCTTGGTTCAGCTGAAGTCCTCAGCCATTTTTGGAGCTTCTCTGGACTTGCACCAGATTTTTCATTGGACTGACTCATGTTTAACACCAGGGAGGCAAGTGCTGCCCTTGCAGAACTCCTCCATCCAAGGCTGTGAGAATGGGTCCATATGGCCATGCGTGTGTGTGTGCTGCACCTGTGCCAGAAACCACAGGTGTGGTGAGAAAACACGGATATAATCGTATGTTCTCCTGAGGAATAAAAGTGTAAGGATTTATCAGACGTCAGATCACACGTCAGTGGCAGAAAATAGACATTCAAGCTTAGTTTCACAGGCGTTTCCCTTCCTGGAGAACCTGGTCTCCTCACCTGTGCTGTCCAGACGTGATTACTTAGGTATCTGTATGTGTATCAATAATCTAGTTAAGAGATCTTCTGAAAATCCCATCAGGAATGGCCTTGGATGTGAGGCACCTGCATGTTTATGTTCCTTTTACTTCAACCAATGTTTTTTTCTCATCTTTCATCAAAGTTCTTGGCTGACACGACTTCAGGCTGAGGGACTGCTGCTAATGAACCTTCAGACTTCCTTTTCTCAGGTACAAAGCCTGAGGAGTATTTTGGCTTGATGGCCAGAAAAGGCAGCCAGAAGTATTTCCAGTCTCTTGATAAGTCTATAAAATGCTTGTGGGCTGCAGAAGAGCAGAACAAGGGTTGGTTACTCAGGACTGTGAGAGATCACAGGAAAAAAACAGTGAGAAAACTGAGATGTCTCCTGAAACTCATATTCTTTCCCCAATGTCTTCATCCACAGTTTATTCTCCTGCTGCTTATGGATCTCCTTGCCTCAGCTAGATGTTCATGTGATGCAGCATAAATACACTTACATATACTTATGCACAGATCCCTCCCACAGCTCAGTGCATGTGCTCTCACATGATCCACATGCTCCCACACAGCCCCGGGAGATCTCTGGAACTAAGAACAGGCTGAGGAAGGGGCATCACAGGGCAGGCGAATCAGGGAAATGAAACAGGGTATCAGTGTATTCCTTAAGTGTTCATCTCTCATATTTACTAAGAGTTTACTTATGGGAGCTGGATGTAACATTTCAGGGGACATGAGGGTTTAAAATGCCTTAATTTGAAGGTTTTCAAATGTGTGTGTGAGTTGCATAAAATTACGGATCTACCCAGCACTATCAAAATACAAGGGCATTTGCAGCAGAAATGAGAGTCAGAGCTCAGCATAAATCTGTATAAATACAAGGGTCATGGAAAGGGCTCGTGCATTTTTGGGAATCATTCTAACAGGAATGGTGGTTTATTAAGTGGTGAATGGCTTGTGAGGAATCTAAACCAATGAACTGGTGGGTAGATGGAGGGAGGGGATTCTGCCCCTCTGCCCTGCTCAGGTAAGACCCCACTTACAGAACTGCCTCCAGCTCTTGGGGTCCCAGCACAGGAGGAACATGGAGCTGTTGGAGCGAGTCCAGAGGAAGTATCAAGATGATCAGAGGGATGGAGCAGCTCTACTGTGAGGGAAGGCTGAGAGAATTGGGATTGTTCAGCCTGGAGAACAGAAGGCATCAGGGTAACCTAATTGGGGCTTTCCAGGACATGAAAGAGCTACAAGAAAGATGGAGAGAGACTATTTACAAGGGCCTGGAGTGGCAGAACAGGGGGGAATGGCTTTAAACTGCCAGAGGGCGGAGTGAGATGGGATAGTGGGGAGGAATTCCTCCCTGAGAGAGTGGGGAGGCCCTGGCACAGGTTGCCCAGAGAAGCTATGGCTGTCCCATCCCTGAAAGTGTCCAAGGCCAGGTTGGATGGAGCTCTGAGAAACCCGGTCTAGTGGAAGGTGTCCCTGCCCATGGCAGGAGAGATTGGAACTGGATGATCTTTAAGGTCCCTCCCAGATCAGGACATTCTGTGGTGTGTTGACATTTGACCAGAAGTTTAGAGCAGAGAATGTTTGGTTTTACCTCAACTCCAAAACACAATTAAGTTTTAATAAAATTCCAAGTAGTCGGAGATGTATTTTGTTTCTTTTTCTCCAAATTTGTGTTGGGAATTGGGATGGGATACATCATAAATTTATCTCAGGGTTCAGTGTACTGGGCTGCCCAGGCAGGTGGTGGAGTCCCCATCCCTGGTGGTGTCCAAGGAACAACTGGACGTGGCACTTAGTGCTCTGGGCTGGGTGACACTGTCGTTGTGAGGACAGACACCACACTGGGATTTCACACAGAAACATGGACAATTTATAGTCTCCCCTAGCCAGCGTGTTTCACCACCACTGGTGCCCTTACTACATACACATCTTAAGATTGGCTGCTCTATAGCTTCTGCAACTCAGGGTCACTCAGCAAACAGTCCAGGCTCTCTGACTATCACAGCTGCCCCGCAGCTCTGTCCTCCCTGTCCACCTTCTCATCTTCGTTGTTTACATTCCTTCACAACTTCACAGCTGCAACCACTCAAATTCAGGGCCCAAGCTGTCCACAGCTCAATTGCCTCCCACGTGACACGTTGGGGATTAGACACAGGTTGGACTCAATGATCTGGGAGGGCTTTTTCGACCTCAGTGATTCTGGGATGCTGTACAATGTTTTGGTGCCTACCATATATCCAGGGAAGCACTGGCATTGGAGAGCATTACAATTGCATCATTTTTAGTTATTTTTAACCTGACACAAGAGAGAATTTTGCATTTTATATAATTTTCACAGCATTTGAACCAAAGTGGAATTGCTGAAAGGTCTTTCCTCTCTGTGGGCCAATGCCCCTGTGCAGGAGGGACTTTGCATCCTTTTCTGCTGCTCAAAGCAAGAGGAAATACAGTTTTCCTGGGAATTGCTTCAGCCTGGCCAACGCAGAGCAGGATGGGACCATGCTGGGAACAGCAACACCTGCTTTGTTTGCGGAAGGGGTTCTTTATCATTTATTCCATGAACATGGAAGAGAAAAAAAAATTCATGCAATTAAAAATCCTTATGCAATTCTTCATGTCCCATAAACTATTTCACTGCATGTTATGAATATTCACTTCAGTCCACACTAATTTTCCTATTTCAGTCTTATCTTTTTACTTCCCACCACCAGTGCTCACTTGGGCTCCTCCCCGTGACAGACACATCGTCATGTGCGTGTTAATGAGCTGCAGTGCTGAACGATGTGATAATTGATGTTCTGAACCTTGCACACTTTAAAACATTAATTCATGAGCAGATAAGCAAATTAATTCACCACCATGATGGACATGACATAACCAAGCTCCTACTTGGTCCTCACTGCCCACTCTGGGTTTTTTTCAGTGCTCCACAAGCCACACAGTTATTAACAGTCAATTAAAGGCTTGTCTGGGTGGGAAAACACTTCCAGCAAGTCTTTTAAACCTTTAGACCTATAATTTCCAGCATCTGTGGTCATGGCTGTTGTGATATACTGTGTTAAAATAATAATTATATTTAACACTTTTTTGTTTGTTATGTGGTGGGTGCCTTGTGAGGAATCTAAAGCAATTACTTGGCCATCACGTGGGGAGCTCTGCTTAAAAGACATGGAGAGATGAACTTGGAAGCAAGGAGCAGTTTTCATCTGAGGGATATCAGAGCACTCCCTGCAAGGTGGAAACCACAGCAGGGAAGCACTAGCAGTTACTGGGATTTCGGGAGCTCCAGAAATGCCTATATCTGATGTGTCAAGTGGAGTTAAAGGAGGTCTTGAATAATGTCTTTGTCACTGGTCTCTGAAACAACCTGTGTGTGCATTACAGGGCACTGGGGTTTTACGGACACAAACATTCCCTTTGATTTCCTGTTGTTTCCCAGCAGACAGACTTTGGCCTGTGCTCAGAATTGCTCACTCAGACTGTCCTTATTTCTGTGGAACAAGGCAAAACTGAGGATCCCCTTTCCTGGGTTTGGCTCCTTTGAGAAAGGAGAACTCTTCAGCAATTTTTGACTAACATGACGGAATTTTTATTAGGGCACAACATGTAAGCACTGAGTGGGTGGTGAGCAAGCCTGGGAGAGCTTTTTCTTTGGAGGTAGGAGGGGTGATGACCCATTTTGCACCCACTGCCCCCCATCACAGGTGATCAGCTGGTTCCTTCCAGGACACGCCTGGCTCTGGCAGCCGTGGGGGTTCACCATCCAGCTTCATGCTCTGCTGGTTGATGTAACAAGGACGAATGGTCCCTGACCAGCGAGGGCAGCTGGGATGGGCAGTGGATGCTGCAACAGATCAGCTGCTCCAGGAATCGCTCATGGTCTCTTCAGGGGCTGGGCTCTGCCCAAGTGCAAACCATCAGCCCTAATGGATGCTGAAGCTTTTAAGGCAGGAATAGCAGACTGCTTTGAGTTGGAAGGGATTTAAAGCACACCTAATTTCATAACCTCCTATGGGCAGGGACACCTTCCACTAGACCAGGTTGCTCCAAGCGCTATCCAGCCTGGTCTTGGACACTTCCTGGGGTGGGGCAGCCACAGCTTCTCTATTCTGTGAAGCCCATCAGGTACAAATTACTCATGTATCTGAATGTGTCTAAGCATCACTGTGGGGCAGGGGCAGGAGAGAACCTTTGCTCAGCTCCAGGAGCTTGAGGGGGTTTTCAGCTCACCTCAGAGTGGGGTTTCTGGGCGAAAGCTGCAGCAGCTCCTGGCTCGCCTTGGATGTGTGTTAAATCCTCCAAATGCTGGTCAGGTGTTGAAGCTTCCAGTAATTTCTTTCTGTTATTGTTTCATTTCAGCAAAGCCCTTTGAGAGCGGGCAGTACTTGGACATCTATGGAATTACAAGAGACCAGGCGGGGGAATACGAATGCAGCGCAGAAAATGATGTCTCAGTCCCAGATGTGAAAAAAGTAAAAGTCACAGTAAACTGTAAGTCATGTTGCTTCTTATTCCCTAAATCCAGTGGAGAAGCGGCGGAGAAGGAAAGTCTGGTGCAGTGGTGAAACTGTAGTGCTGGGGTTTGTGTCACAGTGGCAAAGGGAGCTGTGCTGTGTCATGGCTGGGTTGATGTCACCAAGGAGGTTGATGTGCAAACCCTCTGTTGTGAGTCATTTTCTGAGTACGTGCTGGTGGCTGCTGAGGTTATTGGGCTGAGATTTTCCTGATTTAACTTGCCATGGTGTGCAATACTGTAAGGAGATAAGAAACTCTGTTTGGGTGTTTGGATGAGGATCAGTCTCTAAGGAAATTTGAAATATTCCCAGGAGAGGCAGCAGGTTATTCATGTGGTTGCCCTCTGAAGGAAGAAGAACTTTACTGGCGCGTGGCTCTGCTGTGGGGATCCTGAGGGCGGTGGAGGACACCAGGAGCCGCCAAGGCCACCTGGTGCCTGTCCCTGCAGCCTGTCAGGTTGGACCACCTTGGACTTCCACACCAAGGTGTTCTCAGCTTGGAGCTGAATTTGATTTAGCACTTGGTATGACGCGAAACATTCTTTTTCCCTCCAACGTGTAAAGAAAACACAGGAAAGAAAATGTGCATAATTTCTCTTGTTCATTCTAACAGTTAATATTGTTTGATTAAGTTCAATTATCAAGCTTGTCATTTGTAACAGTTTCTGGCTTTAGAATTGCTGTGGCAGCTTTCTTGGTCGTAAATGTCAGCATCATGTCTCCCACACAGACACTGTCCTTGTTGATATGGGCAGCAAAACCCCTTGTCCCCTGGCCACTGCTGGGGCCAGTTGTGTCATCAGGGCATTCAGGGGGCGTTAATTTATGACCAGACTGTCCTCATTTACATGACACCAAGGCTCTTGTAGTTCGTGCCGTCCAGAAACATGGTGGATCAAGGCACTTACAGAACAGCTTGATGGTGTACTGGGTCACACAGGCTGCCGGGTAACCCTGCCCTGAACTCATGCTGCCTGGTGACACTGCCTGCAGGTCCTGAGGCTCAGGTGTGATGGGATGTGATCATCAGTCGCAAGGACAGACTTGAACTGCAGAGCAGCTTGAGGAGCCTCACTCAGAGTCCATCGCTGTTGCTGCTTCTTTGCCCTCGTTGTTGTGTTTCCACCTATCTCAGCTTTGCTGCGTTTTCAAAAACAGGCAGTGCTCTAAAAATCAGGGACTCTGTGGGAGGGAAAACCTCAATGAATAGTGTCTGATGGAACAAGTGACCTTTACTTTCTGTGCAGTGAGTTGCTACTGGAAGACTCTCAGTAAGAGAACCTGTGCAGACATTTGCCCAGGCCTGCCCTTGGTGTTATAGGTGACATCTTCAACAAACTGCTCTCCAAAATGGTTTGTGGCCATAACTCGCAGTAGGGATCAAAAAGATGGTGAGTTCAGCCTGGTTTTAGCAAAACAAATATTGCGTCTGTGTTATTTCATATCATGGGGATTTCAATTAGGGTGAGACCAGCTGTCTCATGTTCAGAGAATGGGAGAAGCTGCTAAAGCTGCTCAGTGGTTGCTTTCGTATTTAGGTTTTTTTAAGTAAGAAAAAGAGCACAATGGATGTGATAAACTCACTGAATTTTTCTTACATTCCAAGTCAAGATCTAGACATACATGAGTCCTAGTTTGGATGAAAGCACTAGCTTAGCTGGCCAGAGCCAAAACTTCAGTTTAAATGTCACACACAGCTGATGCCCTGGTTGGTATGTGCCCTGTGCCCCAAGTCATGCCTGAGCTGGAACTATTCCTGACCTCAGATCACTGTTTCCTTAACAGGGATTTTGAGTCTGCCAGATGGCTTTGTGATGAGAACAATTGACTCTGACAGTGCCAGGAAGGTAAAGCTGAGCAGTGGTGGTTCATTCCTGCACCAGCCACCCCAGGTCTCTCTGTGTGAAGGATGATTGTGCCCAGGGGTGCAGGTGGGATGGGGTTTGCTCTTCCTGAACAGTGAGCTAAGGGAGCAATGGCAGAAAGTGTGTGTGTTGAAGGATGTGCAGGTTCAGGAGGTCCCATTCCTCTTTGGTACGTGCCACAAGCAAGGAGTGCTCAGGTCCAACTGCAGCACATGGTGTAAGGGACCTCTGACTGCAGGGAAAAACTTGTCCAGGCTGCTCCATCAACCAACAAGCTCGGAAAATAATAAGTATAAAGAATAAAATAATAAAGCTGCTCTTTGTCTCTGTTCAGCCACTGGGCTAAGCTGAGAGCGTCCTTGGCCATAGTGTGGATTCACATGGCATTATGTAGGATTCAGGCACACTTCTGAGCCTGCACTGGGGATATGCAGAGTATTTTATTTTTCTAATATTTCTTATAACTAAATCTAGTGGATTTCTGTGGCTGGGTTTTGGTAGCAAGTTGGGGCTACAGGGGTAGCTTCTGTTAGAAGCTGCTAGAAGCTTCCCCTGTCTGGTGGAGCCAAAGCCAGCCGGCTCCAGAACAGACTTCCTGCCACCAGCCAAGACCAAGCCAATTAGGAGCAATAGTAATGCCTCTGTGATAATGTATTTAAGAACACAAGGTTGTTGCACAGGAAGAATTCCAGAGAGGGAAGAGCAGAGTGAGAACATGGGAACAACAATGTAGACACCAAGGTCAGTGCAGAAGGAGGGGCAGGAGGTGCTCCAGGTGCCAGAGCTGAGACCCTGCAGCCCGTGGTGCAGACCATGGTGGAGCAGCTGTGCCCCTGCAGCCCATGGGGGAGCATCAGGGTGCAGAGACCCACCTGCAGCCCATGGAGGAGCCCATGCTGGAGCAGGTGGATGCATGAAGGAGGCTGTGATCCCTTGGGAGGCCCAAGATGGAGTGGGGTCCTACCAGGGACCTGCAGGCCGTGGAGAGGGAAACCCATGCTGGAGCAAGTTTTTCCCAGGTAGGACTTGTGGCCCCTGTGGGGGACCCACGTTGGTACAGCTCATTCATGAAGGACTGCACCCCATGGAGAAGTAACCCACAGGACAGCAGTTTGGAAAGAGCTGCTGCCCGAGGGACGGCCTCATGTTGGAGAGGTCCATCAAGGACTGTCTCCTGTGGGAGGGACCCCACAGGAGCAGGGGAAGGACTCTTCTCCCTGAGCAGCAGCAGAAACAACAACTGACTGTAACCCCCATTCCACGTCCCCCTGCACCGCTGGGGGGGGAGGGGGGAGAACATGTAAGGAAGGAGGGGTGGGGGGAAGGTGTTTTTAAGATTGTTTTATTTCTCACTCTTTGGCTCTTACCCTGTTAGTAATAAATTTAAGTAATGTCCCCACTTTGAGTCTGTTTTGCTTGTGAAGATAATCAGTAAGTGACCTCTCCCAGCTCTTAACTCATGAATCCTAAGGTGTTTTGTTCTCTCCTCTGCCCAGTTGCAGAGGAGAGTGAGAGTGCTAGATGGGTACCTGGCATCCAGCCAGGGTCAACACACTACACTAAAGAAGGAGGGAACAGGGATAAAATGGAAGCAATGTAGAAGTAGGATGTGGCTACAGCATGAGGCAGTTTGTACACCTGAGTGATCAGCCAGAGTCAGCTGATTACTGACACTGCCCTGGCTGGGTTTTAGTGTCCCCCAGCCAGCTGAGCCCAGTGCAGGAGCTCTTCCAACATCTGTTCCCTGCTGCTGATCCTCGTCCATCCCAACCAGGCGGAAAAACAGCTTGTTGCACCTGGGAGAGGGTTGTGCCAGGGGTGGGGTTGCTGGCAGAGCTTATGTACTGTGATCAGCCCCATGGGCACGTTGCTCCAGGCAGATGGGACATGAGGGGCTGACTTTCTCTGCCCAGGACAGCCTGGGTGGGCAACCCTGTTCAGTGAGAATGTCGTGCCTGCCACCAAATCAGTGGAATGATGGCCTTTTGCTGCTGAGCTGGCCTGGCAGGACAGCTTCCATCAATGAAAGCGAGATGTTTCATTTAGGAGAGATGTGCTTTGCCTACTGGTCACTATTTGTAAGAAATTTATATCAAATTTATTTTCAGGTTTAAATCTGCAAAGTTCTTAAAAAAAAGAAATATAAAAGAGAGGAAGCCTTCAGCTCCTCTGATTGTCCTGGTTGGGCAGTTTCCTTTGTTAAATGTCCTTCCACCCTGTTTCTTCTTTAAAGGTATCTGTTCACTTCTCTGACAAACTGAGAAGAACAAGGCTTTCTCCCTCCACATCCCCCCAGAAATTCCATTCTTTTCCTTTGTGCCTCAGGACATGGGTTAATGGTGGCCTTGGCAGTTTTGGGGGATGGTTGGACTCAATGCTCCTAGAGGGCTTTTCCAGTCTAAACTATTCTGTGATTTTTCTCTGCTGCTGCTCTCACCCACCCCTGTGTCATTCCATGATTGTACTCCTGGTGCAGGGATATTCTGCCCATCTGCCAGGTCCCTCTATGTGCTTTTAATTCCATTTACTCATGACTCAGTTACTTGGTGAGCAACACTTAAACTGTGATCAACGTACCCAACTCTCCTCCTTTAGTCTCATAGGGATCCTGGAATTTTACAAACGTCCATCACCTTTCCCACCTGGAGTACTTATGATAGAAAATACTCTTGGAAGTAACGTGTGTGGATTATGCTCCAGATCTGAACAGGTTGGAGCAACCTGGTCTAGTGGAAGTGTCCCTGCCCAAGGCACGGCGTGGGACGACATGGTCCATTCCAACCCAAACCAGTCTGGGATTTCACGATTCCTGCTTTTGCAACCTGAATGACCTGATGGGGTCTGGACAGTCATGTTCTACAGAAGCATCACTTCATCTCAGAGTGGGGGTAATCCTTGTTCCATCTCTGTGTCCCCCCACCATGTGTTGTGCCATATCCTGCTACACCTCCCGCCCCCCAGCACACAGAGCCACGTTTGTGTGAATGTCGTCACTTAACTGCCTCTGACAACTTCTCATACTTCCCTGTTGTGAAAGGGAACGTTCTCTCCCATAGCCCTGATAACTGGAAATAAATCAAGGCTTTATTGTGCCCAGTTAATAGAATGTATC